GTGACAAAGTGTAAGTGAATGAGAGCATCATCCATACGTGTTCTAAATACTGCTAGTGTCGGAGCAGAGACGACCGATTCTGGGAGAGCATTCCACGGGTGACAGACACGAACGGAAAATAAATTTCTGCGGCACTCCCGGCGGCTATACTGTACAGCAAGTTTCAATGAGTCGCCCCTCAGGGTGGTATTGGTACTGAGTCGCAGTAAATGGTGGCACACATGATGTGGGTCTCGAAGAATCAAGTATGTAATAATCAGGTCGCCTCGTAGTCTGCGATAGCTTCCACTGAATACCCCCAATCGTTGCAGCCGCACCTGGTATGAAAGATTGCGCATTCGAATTGCGTTCTTAGATGCCCGACGTTGTGATTGCTCCAGTGCATTAAGGTCGGGTCCCAGCTATGGATGCCACGCTTGAATTATCTATTCGAAATGCAGGCGAACATACGCAGTGAGCATTTGTCGAAACATGGAGCAGTTTATTTGTCCAAACGCCCGGCTCAACAGCCCGACGTGTTTGTTCCCAGTCTTCGAGGTCTTTTCGGATTACCTGGAGCAACCCAAGTCATTTTGAAGCAGGACACCCAAGTCACCTAGCATTTACTGACGTTGAAATGCAGAAGTTTTGGATTGACCTTTGATATACCGTATCTAGGTCACTCTGAAGCGGATGCTGGTCAGTGTTTGCCCGAATCTTGCTCCAAATCTTGATATCGTGGGCAAAGATTAGGAAGTTTGAAGAGATTCTCTGTGCAAGGTCATTAATAAACACCAAAAACAAATATGGACTTAGAACTGAGCCTTGCGGCACACCATACTCGACTTGTATGGGGTCCGATAAAGAGCTCCGAACTCTGACCACTAATTGCCGTTGAAGTAGAAAGTTGGCAATCCAGCTTAAAAGAGGGTCGCCGATCCCGTAGTGCTGGAGCTTGGAGAGTAGTATACGATGGTCTAGACGATCGAAAACGGTGGAAAATCCGGCTAGATCACAGCAACACCTTCTCCAGCGTCAGCTGCCTCGGTCCAACTACTGCGTGTGATTAGCAAATTTGTCGTACGTGAACGCTGTCGACAAAAACCGTGCTGCTCAGGCATGATGGTGTTACAGTTTTCTAGCTATCACACCAGTGCATCGGCAACTATGGATTCCATGACCTTGGAGAGTATAGGAAGAAGGGATACTAGGCGGTAGTTAGAGGGATCAGTTCTGCTTCCACCTTTGTGAATCGGGGTTATTATTCCAAGCTTCCACATAGAGGGAGCTTGATTCTGATCTAAGCGCCGTTGGAAAAACTGGGCTAAAGGTCCTGCCATTTGGCTTGCTGCTGCTTCCAATGCCTCTGGACGAATGGTGTCGATACCCGGCGAGCAAAAGGCATTTACGATCAAATAATGCAAACGGTCAATGACGCGGTTGGAGCAATCATTTTCTTAGATGCGCCTGGAGGAACTGGTAAAACGTTTCTTCCTAGATTGATTCTTATGAAAATTAGATCGCAAAATAACACAGCCTTAGCTCCCGCGTAATCTGGAATAGCAGCGACAATGCTAACCGGTGAAGAACGGCTCATTCCGCTTTGCAATTCATTGAAACTCTCACATGTAACCTTTCTAAATCGTCCAGCATGGGAAAAGGTTTGCAGAAGTGCAAACTTATTGTCTGGGACGAATGTATAATGACGCATAAAAATCGCTAGAGGCACTTGAGCGATCGTTGCAAGATTTGCGGAGAAACAGCAGACCATTTTGGAACGCGTTATTATTGCTTGCAGGAGATTTCAGGCAAACGTCGCCTGTAATTTCTCAATCTACGCTAGCGGATGAAATAAATGCTTGCCTGAAATACTCTTCTTTGTGCCGACACGTCAGAACATTAAAATTAACTGTAAATATGCGTGTCCAGTTTCAACACGATCACTCAGCTGAGATATTCTCACTTCAATTACTGGATATTGGGAACGGAAAGTTGCTCGTTTATTTGACCTCAAGAAGAATTTCATTGTCTCATAACTTGTGCAATTCTGTGACGTCAAAAGAACTGGCAGAAAAGTAGTTCCCAATATTCAAACCAATTATCCGAAGCACGACTGCCTGAGTGAACGAGCTATTCTTGCGGTCAAGAACAAGGACGTCGATGAAGTGAACCCTATTATTCAATATTCCAAGCGATTAAGTCACTTATAAGTCCGTCGACACTGTGTTGGAAGCAGATAAAGCGGCTAATTATCTAAAGGAATTTTTGAATTCACTCGAACTCTCAGGGATGCCACCGCATGTAATTGATTTGTAAATGGGCACACCAATTGGTATGTTGCGAAATATCACCCAGCCAAAGTTTTGTAACGGTACGCGGCGTGCAGTACAAAGGTTACTCAGCGACGTTGTACAGGTAACAATCTTGACCGAACCCTTCAAAGGTGAAGATGTCCTCATTTTTGCATTCCGATGATAACTACTGATGCCGACATCTCTATTTAGGAGACGGCAATTCCCTATACATTTGGCCTTTGCAATCACAATAAACAAAGCTCAGGGGCAGTCAGTGGAAGTGCACAAGTTAGACCTACGCACCGACTGCTTCTCACATGAACAATTCCATGTTCAGCGTTCTAGAGGCGGCAAATCTGACGACAATCTTCATATATGCACCGACAACGTTACAACAGCTCTAAGCGTTGTATACCCACAAGAGTTGTGAAACTACATCTACTAGAAAGGTGAAATGTTTTTCCTTCATTTTATACATCTAGACAATGGTGCAACTAACAATGAATACCAACAATTGTTTTGACACTACATCCACTACAAGGGTTACAATTTTTTTTCATTTATTTGCATTAACACACACTGAGCCATATATATATATATATATATATATATATATATATATATATATATATAAATGCTGAGGCAGATGTCGCATTCGTGATGCTTCTTCACCGCCGTTGGGTTCAACCAACTTCCACTAAAACTAGATCTTTTTAAGCTGGATAAATTTCATTCCACATTATTTGGTTTGTTCTGCCTACCTGAATAATCTTCTATTAACTGGCCACGTTGCTTACGCTAATTGCGCTTACCTTCGGTAACTTTGTTATGTTTGTAGCATTTTTAAGTAACTTGTAGACATTTTTTACTTATCACGGATTCGTTTCTAACCAACTTAATTCATTTGCTAATTTAGCGAAGCTAATGCCACCGTACCTGTATGCATTATTGGATTTATTTTATTTCATTTTGTCGTTTCAAGTGATTGGCTGTTGTTCGATATCCCCGGTATGGGTGCGCTTGATGTGTAGGTTGACAAGGTGTCTACCTGCCTAGTACCCACTACATCGTTCATACTGGTTCCAGGAGATAGTTGGTCGTTGCTGTAGGGGACGGGGTGCACGGTCCTTGTGGCTGTGTTAGGATCAGAGTGGTTCCATGCACTTAGTGTGGAGCGGACTACGGTCCAGCCACCGCCTTGTGTACGGTTGATTCCCAAATACAGTGTGCTTGTGTTTGCCTGTGAGGGAGTGTGGGCCAGCTCCGTTGATGAAACGTGGCTCCCATCCACATGCCTCCCGGTCTTATTCCTTCGGGTTTACACTGGATATGGGGCGTGTGGATGGAACTGTGGGTCGCGCAGCGCAAGCCACCCATGGTCCCTCTGTAGGCGCAGGCGTCCTGTGGCTGGCCACAGTGACAGGCAAATGCGAAACCGGATGCCGTCAAGCATAATATAGGCTACATCTTGCAGGCCGCTACACAAATCGCGACCTTGGGGTTGACTCAGGATGATCTAGGCTGGTGCAAAGCCAACAGTGGCAGACAGGGTAATAGCAGCGTCGGTAAATAGTAACGACGCTTCGATGCTACGCAACCACTAGTCGCGCGTGGGCTAAGCATGTTGCGACGGTCGCCCGGTTCCGTATGCAGGCTGGTGATCCGAGAAAGTGTAAAAGTGGAGACAAATATGTTGGTCTTTTCTGGAGGTGCACGGGTGGTTCTATGTTCATACTTGAGGCCCCATGTGGAAGATGCAACTCTGGCCCGGCAAACCAGGATAAATGCGATCGGAATGCGAGGAGCAACTCGAAACATAAAAGAATTATTCCCCCTCTCTTACACCGACTGCGATGGAAAGCGTACAATGGAAGGTATCGCCGTCCAAGGAATGGCTACATTCTAACCTGTCACAGTTCGAAAATCCATCCAATTTGCTGACCATCACAATAGAATACTGGCTGGCTAGCCGAACAACCTCCCCGAGATGCCAGCTGGGTGGTTTGGGTAAATCCCGTTCCAGCAAATGGTTCGGCAGTAGTGTTCCAGGATGTGGTGGGATCTCAAGCGTTCTCCCTATAAAAAACCACAGATATCCGTTTACCAACACTGTGACGTGGCGTATGTGACTCGCCACCAAATAAAGTTACTGCGTCTTCGCTTTTCCGAAGGATCATTCACACATCAAGAACGGCATCCGATACGAAGCGTTCCACTGATTTCCCCCTTTGATGGCGAACCCAACAAACAAAAGCACACACAGAGTCACATTTACCTAGTCACACAACATGGCTACTTCCAAATACAGACATAAACATACTTTTACATGTCAACAGACACATACACTCTTATGCTATTTGTCAAAATTTGTGTAATTGCCGATCATACATGTCTGTATTACCATGATCACACTCTTGATGGTGTGCCTCGCAATGACGAGAATAAACTATTTATTTATTTATTTATTTAATAAGGGACCAACACCACTAGCAAAACACAATCAATCCAAACCCAGTTTATGTAAGCTGCATTACTCGTTCTCAGAAACAATGTATTTACAAAAAGTAAGCAAATAATGAACTGCGGAGTGCAAATAATAGGGTACTGACAAACGACAGGTCTTGGCGAGATAGTATTGCAGCAATACTTAGTGTTGAGACACTGTTGGAGATGGTCGCGGCAGAGCAGGGTAGAGTGGGGCGCGAAGTCGGAGTGTGGTTAGAATCGCTAAGATTGCACCCGATGTGTGTGTGTGTCACGGATCAGATAGGAGGTAGATAGCCATCCATCAGATGTTACTGAAGTAGGGGAGGAAAGGAGCGCATGACAAACGGGAAAGGCAAGCAAACGAAGAGGTGCAGTAAAGAGATGCAAAACGCCAAAGCTATATTCCGGGGCTGCAATATTTAAAGTTTCAAATGCATTCCGAAGACGATAGGGGCAAATCCCATCGCAGATAAGGTTAAACGACACTGGATAAAGTGGGCTGTAAAGAACAGGGTGACGTGCTCCTACCTTGGAAGTGGATGCTGAGACTGGGTTGGCTTGACCCCTAACCATTGGACTCGGAGGTATCTGGAAAATGCTACCCAGCGCAGATCGAAGAAAGCTGATATCAGAATCATGGTGAAGTAGGAAAAGAGAAATGGAATAAGCCGAAAAACTAAGCTTTTTTAGTTCATCTTGCAAATAACAATAATATTAAATAATAATTGGTGTTCTTAGGAGGGAGGGGGATTACCGCAACACGCCGAAACAAACGTCCGTCACTGACATCGGTCTTGAGCAATGACTTCCCCAGGTGGCCAAGCAGCAGCGACATTCCACATTTCTGGAACCGCATCCCGGGGGGGGGGGGGAGAGAAACCGACCGAGGCCAAGTGTTTTGTTAGTTTTTTCACATGCCGCTTCTACAAGCCGTAGGTTGTCCCCCAAGCTGCTTTCTCTAGCCCTGTCCAGCAACCGCGAATAGCGCACGACGCGGAAAACGCTGAATAAGGAAAAGCACTACGTGTCTAAGTAGCTGACGCATGTAGACGAGCTTCTCAAGCGAAATGGCTTCCTCACCCCCCAGGACCGCTGTATAACTTCCACATTGGTTTTGTGAGGTAATCATCAGACACGGGCACTGGAGCGCAAGCAGCTGTGCTCGCAAGGAGACTGTCGGGCTAGGACAACGGTACAAACAAGCCGGGTCTCGTGTCCGTACGAAACAGGACAGCGTGGAGAGTCGCACAATAAACCCACACTTTCAGGATGAGATGGATGCGAGACGAGGCCAAACAGTGAACGCTGTGAGACCGAATGGAGACTCAATTGGAAGAGAAGTTGGGGCTTCACTGGAGTGTGAGACGGCTGATGGCCGGACATTAAACACCCAAAGTTAACTGTTATTTCCATAAGGTGTGAGTAGTGAGCCCTATGTGGCGGTGGCCGTAGAGGACATCTGTATGTTGAAGAACGAGACATGTGGCGATCTGCTAGTGGAGGTTGCGCGATTGAGTTAGCAGAGTCAATAGACATAGTGACAGCGAAGGCGGTAGAACAGTTTATGATTCCTCAGTGGGGCGTGACACTAACCGGGAGAACAGGCCGAAGTAGAAGGTTGTTTTAGACTACCCTATTCTGAGCCTTTGATGATGCATCTAACCTACAAGTCAACGGAGAGATGTGAAGGCGTCGCAACATGGGAGCCGGTAGATTGGTTGCGGAGAATTGCCCACTTCTAGTGGGCACACCGGTTGTGCGTTGCTGAGGTCCGTGAGTTAGTGTACGACAAGACATACTCCGGTGCCTGATTGGAGTGTCTGTAAAAGAGTAACGGCCTACGTTGGTTCGGACATGTCCTACGAATGCCCGTTGACCACCTTCTCAGCGCGCATTATACACCGTTGCTGCATCAAATTGGGCGAAACCGGGAGGTGACCAATTAATGACGAGTCATAAAGACATGGAGAAATTGGCCGAAGGGCTAACGTGTGTCAACTGTGTGGATAGGGACCTCGTAATGGGATTTACATCAAACGCTGGACACCTTATCGGATATGGTTCAGCGGTCCAATCAATGATACTCCTAAATTCGGTTTCTTGCATCTGACTGTTAATATTTATTCCATCCGGAGTAGTTTTATGCAATTATACCCATACCATTTTATTTGTATTCAGAAGGTGTTCAATCTCATTTTTGCACTACTGTTATTTATTATTGTTCTGGGAACTTGCGTTGTGGCGGCAGGATCCACCGCATTTCGGGTGCCCGATTCATAATTGTTTCACTGAGCTGAACTGAACAACACACATGGCCGGAACGGTGTCCCGCGAAGTTCTATGGTGGGTGAGCGCAGATAGATGGTGAGAGACAACTAGCGATTCGCGATGACTGTTGTCTGAGGAGCATTGCTGGTGTCAGATGGCAACAGGGAGTCGTTAATAGTGAGGTATGCAAGTGTCAACCAACTTGTTGTAATCGGGTTAGTTGATTAGATCCAAGACAGAATAGACTGCATTAGCTTAGACAAGCGTTAAGTAAGCCCGCCTATCGCTTGCCGAGGAGAGCACTGTTATTGTCATACAATATACAGGTTAGCGAGCTATTGTGCCGCGATGTACGAGAAAAAAAAACGAGAAAACAAGCAACGGAGGCACACCAGCTTAACCACCAGTAATGGATAGGCATTGTTCCGGAAAGCTACCAGTCGGTTACTGTGAGGCAAAAAGACTTAAGAAATCAGACTGGTTGGAGGGGAAGAGACAAAGAAACTCATAACATAAACGCCACTGAGGTCGGTTCCTAGCTGGGTCAACAAGTGTATCCAACCAAACGTGTTCATCGTCTTTCGGACCAGAACCAGGGAGCAGAGAGGTTCCAACCGTGGCGAAGTTCGAAGTAAGAGCTTTCATTACTCTTGACCAAGTTATTGTTTGCCGCACCTCCTACCCTTCCATCCAGACCCCGGGCGCGCAAACAATGCATGTCGCGGGAGTCGGTCAGGTTGGCATACGCAAGACGTGACCCAGCCACCGGAGCTTGGTGTGTGAAATAACGGTTCTGAGCAGTTCTCTTCCTCTTCTCGTGCCATAAGCAAAATATCGAGCACACTCATTCATTAGGCGGTGTTCCACCAGATATTAGCTAAACTGCGAACGCAACGGTGGTAGAACGTAACTATCAACTGTCAAGTTGATGGGCCAGGTTTCACAACAGTACAGCAAGGTCGAAAGTACGTCTGCATTGTACACTCGACCCTTCCGCGAGAGAGTGATGCCGTACCGGTGCCATAGATGGTGAAAGTTAGAAAAAACACCTCGAGGCTTTGCTATAGGGTCTGTGATCACATCCTTGATTCCAAAGGCGCTAATACAACTGCCTATGTAGTAGAAGTTTTGAACGACTTCTGGCTGGTCGCCAAAAAGGTTCAGTGCAGGGGGTGATCCCTGCCAGGAAGGTGTTGTAGGATCCAACGAATGTGGGATGACACAAAACTCGAGGGGAACAATTCCAGCTCTGACAGAATCAATTCAGATCTTTGATCATCAGATTAGGTGCCGTTGGTGTATACCTCGCTTTTCAAACATGAGCCTACACGACACACTTAGAGCTCGGTTCTTGACTTAACAAGAGGTGAATCGCAGTGGCGCGCACGTTATTATCGTCCAGTCGGATTGCCTGTGCGTCTAATGCTGAGATATCAGTGGGATGAAGAGGGACATGCAGCGAGACAGAGATGACCGCAAGGAGGTTATCTCGCTATTGCCATCATTTGCACACAAGGTATCCAGGTATTGTTGACTACCTTCTGCAGATAAAGTGATGTTAAGGCTCTGCTTTGACAATTGTGACGCCCACAACGTCCACCTCCTCTCCCAGTTTTCTATATTTCCAAAGCAATCATAAAGAAATGGCAGGTAAGCAACATTCCAAACGACTAACCTACCGGGGTTGGCTCACAGAAACGCATCAGTAGGAGTGAAAACTCGCAAGGTGCTACAGGCCGACGCGAGCCAAATCACTGAGTTACGGACGTTTTGCCTTTTCAAAAAGATCGTTGCCTGTAAGCTGCCATCCCGTAACAGTACTTCTCCGGGAATCCCATTCCAACGGTTGGTTACCGTTCGGCTCCTGTTTTCATCCCGTCCAATCATATTTCTCTGCAATTTGATGGTCGCTACTCAATGGCAAATCCCAGTCTGGTCCGTTCGTTTATCGGTCGTCTTCGCAACATTGCTCGTGTCTAAGCGAGTAACACAAATGAGACCACGGGATCCCCTGTTGTTAGTCTCGATGCTGTTGAACTCTAACTATCATAATTCACTGGTTCCTTCCCTCTGCATGCCTATCTTCCGACTTCCTCGGCTTGTGCTAGCTCCTTGATGAAATGGCGGAAATCAACCAGCCTAAACAATGAGTAGGATTGTCACATTTCGTCTTTCTGAGTGAGATCTTCGCTCACGATGCGCAAACACCAAGTAGTGAAACTCTTGTGTTCAGTCTCTTGGTGTGTTGACTTTTGACTGATGTGTAGTCCATGTTTTGATTCTCTATTGATCACACAACACTTGTCCGACGCTCTGTTGATCCACAGATATAATCTGTATCTTCAATTCTTTTGTGGTATCACAGCGGCATCGCATCAAATGTGCTTAGGTGTATGTCGTGAGTCGGTGGTTTCCTCCTATCTCCGGACTACTTTTAGAGTTGTTTTCCATTTACATTGCAGAAAACGATCCATCAGGTCGTCTACCGGAACTCGCTCGGCTTTTGGGTCTACTTCCACCAGACAATTGGAAGGCTCTCAAACTATTGACGGCGCATCTTTCTAAGTGAGTGTCAACTCTCACCCACCCTTGTTATTTGACACACATTGTGTATGCTTCAGGCTTCCGCATAGTCGATGTTCTTCCAATTCTGCTTCTAGGGTGACCGCTGAAAGTGATTACAATGGCATGACAGCTAGTAACCTGGGCATCGTTTTTGCGCCTTCCCTGATGCGTTCCTCGGAGGAGACGGTGGCTGCGATCATGAACACCAAATTTGCTTGCATAGCCATTCAGCTCATGATAGAAAATCATGCAACGTTGTTCGGCACCATGGATTCAAGACCAGGTCAACTTCCCAGAATACAGCATCCCTCACAACCGTTGTGTGCCGCGCCTCTCCTCAATCGCATCCGACCAAGACCTGAAGGTATGCGCACTCTCGTTCGAACCTATGGATCAGTCTGATCTCGAACAATGCTGGCTCATCTTTGGGGTATATTTGAAACAAACTACCTTACTCAGTGCTCATGATATTATTACTAATGAGTAGGAGGATTTTAATTTTAATATTTTCATCCCAGCTGCTCACAGGCTACATAGCACAGCCTAGTCCGAAAAAGCACCAGACGCGTTTCGCCCTATTAGGGCTCGTCAGTGGTATGCATTCCCTCGGTCCCCTACTTTGAATCGAACCTGTGGCCACTAGAGGCAGATGCCAACTAGACAACAGCTTAAACCACCGAGCCGTGGGGGATGTCGGCAGGGCTACACAATTAGCAAGCTAACTGTCATCTGCTAAGGTAGTAACCTGCGTGGCATTGGAAGATAGGTCGTGCTATATCCCAGTTAGCTTGCAAATTATGTAGCCCAGGCGACGTACCTCATGCCTCAGTGGCTTAAGCTGCTGGCTAGTTGACATCTGCCTCTAGCGATCTTGGGTTCGATCCCCAATGGGGGACCGAGGGAATGCGCTCCACTGACGAGCCCCAATAGGGCGAAAAGCATTTGGTGCTTTTCCGGACTAGGCTGTGCCAAGTAGCTTGTGAACTACCAGGATGAATACCTAAAAGCATTGATAAGCGTCATTTGGGGCTTACCGATGGGAGTGGAGCGCTTTTATTGATCCGGCTAGAGATTACTTGGAGTTCGTGGCGCAATCGTAAAGTTAGTAGTAAGACATAATGATTGGGCACGGGAGATTCATTGCTGTCGGTCCACATCGTCCCTCAGCTTGGGACCAATGGGACCCGCTGTGTCCAAGGTCAGCAATGATGACCTTGTCTCCTAGTCAGATTGCATGTTTAGAATGAGCGCAGCGGGGTTTCTCATTACACGGATGCTGGAAAAGGAATGATATCTCTCCGATACTTCCATGTCCCGCCCCCTGTGGTAGCCAGCCGTTTCTGACGATGCGATGTCAACAGCGTGTATTCGCCTTACACTTGAATCTTTACCAAACCCTCCTAGCTCGTGCATCAATCCTCTTTTTAGTTCGGTCAACTTGAATGTAGTTCTTACGAACAAACCCCTAATTTCCCTGGATCCATAGACCTGTCGCCCGATCACCTCTAATTTGTGATGGTCCATCTTTTCACCTATCCTTGTGTGTCCGAAGCACGTTGGGAATACTGCGAAACACCTCCCCAGTTGACCCAGTAGTCACAAAGGACGGATTGCAAAATAGTAACAAACCACCTCAATATGGGTGGTCGAGTTGACAGACAAACCGCTTTACAGATTCTCAGCAGAATGCTAACAAAGCACAGCTATGAACCGAGACCAAGATTAACTGCTACCGCGGACGTGGCGCGCTTACGTTCAATGAGAATTGACCTATTTGTTTCTTAAGCAAAATAGTACGGTCGTTGCAATTGCCATGGCCGGCCACCAGCTTGGAATGATGGGAGCATAATTTATGGGACCGCTATCACATGGTCAGCCTTGATGGTTGTGGCGATTGAAAACCATCATTCCTGTGTATATTACCAAATAAGCCTAAAGAAGAAGTGATCAAGAGCAATTGTTCACTTTTGGCTTGCAGACTTCTTTTTGAGACTGATGTTACCGCCGGGATTTCAACGTCCGGCACTCTTACAAAACTCGAAGACTGCCAGCGCTCTGTATAAAATAACAGTGGTTGCAGAGTTTGAAGGATGAAAACGAGTTTACAGATAACCTACATCTCATCCCATTATATATATATATATATATATATATATATATATATATATATATATATGGCGATCTAATGAATATGCAAAGAGTGATCAAAAGCCAAGGAATTTAAAAGAGGCACAGAACAGAATACAGTACAATCCATAATTTCCTCAGAGGACATGATACTGGCTGGTTATCTAAGCCAAAGTATGGGATTGATTTAGGGAACACTACCCGAACCTCTGGTCACATAAACGTACCCACAAGGCAGAAGAGCGAAGTCAGGCAACCGTGACCATAAGGAGCTAGTAACTGACTTTTAACAGTTCACACGTTTGTGAGTTGACTAACAGGGACCAATACATCACGTGAGTTTAGTCACATAGTTATCCTGGTGAGGAAAATCGTACCACTGGCTGATTTACAGGACGCATTTTGGGGATTCAATTTGAAAATACTGAGTCATGTTGCACAGCCGAGAAGTAACACCAAAGTTAGCATAATAGGATAAGGTGACTAACCTACGTTACGTTGGTTGATACGCTATCAAAGCTTTTCGACACATGGCGACGGATTGGCTGACGTAGTTCGTGTTGAACCGGTAAGGCTACCGAGGAGTGATTTGAACGCAAATCACCCAAACTCGTGTCCCTCATCGCCGAAGTTTGAACCCAGTCATGCACAAATGTTTGAGGTGGTAATTCCTTTCCTTGTGAAACGGCATCGGCGTCGCTTTCCATGGAATCCGGGGGATGAATTCCGCTGATAAATATCGGCTGTGATACGGGAGCACGCCGACGTTGGATCGGTTCAACATTTCGCACCAAGTTTGGTGGGACAAGAGGCCGCGAAGACCTGCAAAATGCACATGAATGAAGTCACAAGTCTCAAAAGACGGGACTTCAGATGAAGTTCTTCGCAACTGTAGAGCTAAGATGGAGCCCGAAGCGTGTTCCAATGGGCACGTGCAATCTTAGGAGGCCGATGCACGTAAAGTTCTAAGTTGCTAACGACACAACGACAACACCGCCGCTTACCTCATTGTGGTAAGAAATATAGTGGGAGAAGGGACAGAATGAACGTAATACGAGAGAAGGTGGTGGAACACGAGAAACGAATATTCAACCGTCCAAACAAGCAACATACGCTAGCACGGATTACGGCATCAAGTCCCACGCCTTCGGACAAAGATGGAACATCGAATAGGGAACAATTAACACAAGAGAAAGGACAAAATATAAGACCATGAATGGACCGGCAAAGGAGCAAAGGTACCAATGGTCGCCTGGTGCACTCGTGTGGTATCACTTTGAATGGTTTGCAGGAGCACTTTTTAGACGGTAACCGGCCTAAGCGAGCACACAACGCCACAAGATGAGCAAGAGGGGCGGATGAGGGGCGACATTACAAAAACAAACGATAGCGTACATACGAAAGCTGCTCGCAGAGCAGAGAGAGGACGAGCAGGCCCGTAGTTCGGACACATCGACAGCTGGCATGCAACATGGTCACAGAGTCAGACGGTCTTGCAGAAGAGGGGCCGCAAATACAACTCTTAGGAGCGACGGGCACAACGTCACCGTATGCTAAATGGGTCAATAAACGGGACAGAACAATAGGGTGGTGCAAAAGCTTGCGTACCTGCGCGACGAGCCGAACATAACCAGATGACATTTCCAAGTGTCTTCAAGACACCTCATGACAGGACGTTAATTGGCTGGGGATCAGACAGGCTCAGTTTCAGTATCACCCTAATCAAAGGTTGAGGATAATTCGATAATTATCGCTCATCAAAACCTATCTATAAGAGAAAACGGTGTATATATTTTGAGCGGGAGTCCACGGATTATTTCTGACAGTGAGAAAGCATCAATCGGTACTCAGTGGTTTGCGACCGTCGGACTCTAGCCAGGTAATTAAAAAGAGAACAATCCGCAGCTGACATTGCACGCGCGTGAATAAATTTTCAAGGCGGAGAAACAATCAGTACTATTTGCTCGGAAGCAGATCTATCCGGGGCCTCTACGGTCACACTCCTGAGTTAGGCCCGCAGTTAGGTATCAAACCGGTCTTGCTGCTACCGTGTTAAAGGTAGAAGGTGGGCAGCGCCGAATAGCCCCAAAAAGAGCGCTCACAAATCGTCGTCGCCATAGGTAGTGGCACTTGTACATGAAAAGCAACCAAACGTCCAGTTAGAAGTATTGAAACTCACACGGAAACATTCAGGACAAAAACAACTGCAAGTGAGTTCCTGGTCGCGAAGGGTAGAACTGAGTGACCAACCTCGCTCGAATAAAAAACACCGGTGTTTGTCTTAGGGGTGGGCTTACAATATCAGAAATAAAACCGAATTCAGTCTTCGTTACCACGGGTCTATAATGGATAAACCAGTTTGTTTTTTTGAAACAAGCCGTCGCTTTGCTCTGAACAGTATGGGCAAAAAAGCATGCCTAACGAGCATTGAGGACAACACAGGACGTAAGCTTTGACGGTTCCTGTTCGTTAGCATGGCGTGCGATGTCTAGCTGGCCATCCAATTTCTCAAAAGTAACCTCACTTGAGTACCAATGAAATCACAAGAATGAGTTGCGAGGACGGGTCACATCAATCAGCTTCATGGTATATCGGAAATCAACTCTCCTCGATTCTTCGTGGCGCAAGGGTTTTAGCAGTGGCACTTGCCTAGTGGTCGCACAATCAGTGCGTACATTTTGATGGAGAATTTCAATGGGACATTGGCGAAGGTCCAGCTCCGAATACTGGGCAGGTGCCACAAACAATGGACCCACAAGATTTGGTGGAGTCCGCGCTGCGGAACAGACACTGTCATTTGAGGTAAGGAAGCACATAGTGCCACAGTCAGAAGGACGTCAACACGGGTCTGCAGGACAGGTAGACTAGTAAGAGTTTCCCAGAGTTCCAGCCCAGCTCAGACTATCTCCACCTGATGAGTCCAAACCAGGACGAAACCGCGGTTGTGGGGTGCCAGTGTTGGGATGAGCAACACCATAATGTTTCCATTTTACCTACGGTCCTTGTGATCGAAACGACCGAGGTCCACCTCAAATGAACCGAGGTCACAATAGAGGTTGCTTGTAGCAACCCAACCACACAGCGGATTCGCCAAGTCCAACTTTGAGTCTCCCACTTCCTCTGCTCTTTACTCCACTTGGCCCTGTCGACTACCGCTTTTCTCATTAAATTCTGTTTCTTTTGGTTCTCGCGCATCATTACTCACCAGTCGCTAACATCCAAATTGCCCTGCAAGTATAATTCGCCAAGCAGACAAAGCATAAGGAATGACGCAACACACCTTTCTTCGAGCTTCTGATCATTGCTCCCTATGCCTGACGTTGCAGGCGCACCGGAATGATCTTCACTTTAGAATAGTCAAACGGGAAAATGCATGCCGTACCGATGCCACGCAGTCACACGGCTACATCAAGTCCCGCGGGAGCTGGGGAAGCATGGACGGATCCCGCATCAGGGCAGACCCGAACCGGTAGGCCTGTGTATGTCCTTGTATGAAGGTGTCTGATGCGTTTGCTGTTTGGCTGCCACAATGCACCATGTTTAACGTGGCCAATTATTACCTACCATCTTATTGGTTCACTACCTAGTTCGTCCGCAGAGCAGCCTGTCACGAGGATGGTGAACAAATGCAGGACGACCGAGCACCTCAACGAACCAATGGCACCGCATCACTCACAAGATCCACATTCAGTGTATAGCAGAAGAAACAAGGCTGGAGACATTGAATCCGATATGAACAGCATTTCTTCATCATTGTTATCGCCAAGGTAACATTTGGAGAAGAGATGCACTCGCGTTTTCATATATATCCTGGGTGAAGGTGAACAATCCCGTCACAAAGAGACTCAGGGTAGATTTGCAGCTATTCGAATAAGTGAATAATTAAACACGAGCTTGCAAACGCCTTGGTTGGCAAGCAAAATTCTCAGTCAGGAAACCCTCCGTGAAAGCCGAAACTCCTGTGTTCAGCAGAGAAATATGCGGTACAATTCATCACCATTCTCTCAAGTTGGCCCTCTACATCGATCAATATAACAGTTATGGTGGGACAGACATGCAATGTCAGTCTATTTTAGAAACACACTTCGCAGTAAACCTTACAACACAAGTGCTAATAAGGCAAGGAAACCGATTCTAATCACGCACCGTCGTGAAACGCGTTACTCATTATTATTACTATTATCAATCAGACAGTATCCAGGGTAGGAGTCGGTAAAATCATGAATGCAACTATGGTCAGAAGGCATGATCCACACTTATTGGTTTCTGCGCATGAAGATCAAGAAGGCCACCATTTCGATCTGGAGAATGTCAAGATCCTAGCACATGGAAGTACAAAACACGCAGGGGAGTTTTTGGAAGCCTGGTACTCCACAACGCATTCATTCAATCGACAGATCAAACTGGACGCAGTATACGCCACACATCTGATGAACGACCGCCAATTCGATCGACTGAATCTGGTGGAACGTGTGACTAGACCACCAGAACTGACGGCAGACTCGCTAGCAGCAAAAAGCAGACAAAGACCACAAAACACAAGGAGGCGAGGTCAAAGGTCATCTGCCCATCAACCAAGCTGGACGCGGATCGAAGTCCCAACCAATAGGATTGCTTGGCTCCACGGCCGACCGCGGCGGTATAAAAACGCACGCACACCACGCTCAGCGCACTCGCACCGAGGCTCCTCTACGATACTGCACGCCACTCAACTACGCACTGATGATGTCACCGCGATTGGTGACGAAACGTTTGCAACGAAATTGCCAAGCTCAGCGGACAGTTCAACAGCCAACGTAACTCATTATTATTACTGTTACAAATCAGAAGGTATCTAGGGTAGGAGCCGGTAAAATTATGCATGAAACTATGGTTACGAAAGTACGGCCGGTGTAAAGACGGGCAGCACAGGCCTACCACATCGGACCTGGAACAAAGCAAAGCGCCTGCTGATGCTTCGGCACAAACGTATGCGAGATAATGTTGTGCCCTAGAAATCATCCCGGTTGTAAACATTGTATCAGGCACACTGCTGCTTGTCAACATGCATCCGTTAAAAAGTGACCCATAAGGACAATGTCTCGAATTTCGATCATCACGCTTAAACTGAGTGGCAGGATCAGGATGAAAACATTGCTAGCAGGATGCCCAGTTGATATGGATTTTTGAAACAACTCCTAGTCACCTAGCTTCATTTGTGCTGTCGTCCGTTTCTTAAAATGGGGTTAATTTGGTTGGACGGCTTATGTCGCTCTTAATGGATGTTATCCTAGGGGTCGATTTCCGCTAATACCGTTTCCTTGGACAGCCTAGAATCGTTTCACATTCGGCTGCGTCGTTCAGTGTCCCCTATGTTTTAGAAGCCTTGCCTCTAGTACTATTAGTACGCAATTTAAGCAAAGCAGTATTTGCATGTTCCGACTCGCCTTTCGGGGTGCGAGTAGTTGGTATGGCTACAACAAGCACCATGGCTTGGTACAGGCCAGTGGTCCTGTTCAACCCGATCGGCCCATATGAGGTGAAATAGCTGAAATGGTTATAACATGGTACCGTTCGCTGTTTGCATGGAGGTGCGATCATAAACGGGCAAAGGTAGATGACATCGATGGGCTGAAATTAGACAAAACGACCATGATACGGAATTTGAAGCAGATTGGTCCTAGACTAAACTAGTCGTCACCTGAGCTCGAATCATACGGAAGACCCGGTGGCAGCATCAAAATGCGTGTACCCTTCAGCTGACATGGATGATCAAACGGTTCATGGAAAGCGGCAGCTAGAGCAACCAATGCGCATACATGTCAAGGACGAGTAAGTCGTAAAGAACAACACTCGTGAAAGACCTGAACCACAGGTAGTGCCCTCGGGAAAGTACAAACTTAAAGTGAGTCAGGTGAATTTATTGACCTAGCGCCCAGCATCCTCGCCACCTCGATCAATAATGTGGCTGTTGAGTAAAGTTGTCGTATGGCAAATATACGGATAAACAAATAAATAAGAATATATTCTCGACAAAACCATGGATAGGACCGGTAAGAATAGAAGACCTGTCAACGTACCCCTTATGTTGCGTGGCTGGAGCAGGCGCGTTTCTTAAGACTAATAAACCTGAAACAAAAGTGAAGGACCGGAAAGTGCAGGGGAGAGGACATCGTTATAAAAACTGAATGGAATGTAAAGAACTAAGAAGAGCGAAAAGCAGGAACCACATCAAAGGGGATAATGCAAATCGAAAACGCGCCAAGCGTATACCACCAGTTTCCAAAGACGATAGGCGACTAAGAAGCCGATCGGTAAGTTTGGCATAGAACACACTAGTGCAGAGATTCAATCAGGAAGCACTCAAAGTGAGAATTGTATTCAATAGCAAAGGATTAAACGATCGCACTCCCGACAATGGTGGGAGTATAGAGTTAGAAAGCACATTGCCCCTGGTATCCATATTGCCCCGCAAATTAGCAGATATAATTCGGTAAATGATACCACTTTAAAGTTAGCACATACTGAGAGAACCTGGGACAACTTCACCAATACCAGAGACTTATAACCATAGATACGGTAGGGAGTAGAAGGATGATGTATGGCTCTTTTGAGAAGACGGCCGTCTCGTCATATTAAGACTCGTCATTGGCGCGCAACCACCGTAACCTGCCGCATACGAACCGAACTCCTAAAAGCCAGCGCCTTATGCCACTATGATATGGGTGACGGCCAAGGAGCGCCACGATTAATATCTAACTGTGATATGGAGCGGCTCATTATCCACTGTCATGAATGTTACGATTGTGCAGGCGAAAGGGCTGGCTCACACCAATCGAGGAGGCATAAATAAATAAATATATATATATGGTGGGCCACATATGGTTTCCGATTTGCCTGTCACTGTGGCCAGCTAAAGGATGCCTGCGCCTACAGAGGAACCATGGGTGGTTTGCGCTGTATCACCCACAGCTCCAGCCACACACCCCATATCCAGTGTAAACCCGAAGGAATAAGACCGGGAGGCATGTGAATGAGAGCCACGTTTCATCAACGGAGCCGGCCCACACTCCATCACAGGCAAACACAAGCACGCTGTATTTGGGGAATCAACCGCACACAAGGCGGTGGCTGGACCGTAGTCCGCTCCACACTGACTGCATGGAACCACTCTTTGAGCCTAGCACGGCCACAAGAACCGTGCACCCTGTCCCCTCCAGCAACGATCAACTGTCTCCTGGAGCCAGTATGGACGAGGTAGTGGGTAATAGACAGGTAGGCACCTTGTCAACATGCACATCAAGCGCATCCACACGTGGGATGTCAAACAACAGCCAAACGCTTGAGAGAGGGAGAGAGAGAGAAAGAAAAAGAGAAAAACTCGATTAATGCACAAAGAAACGGTGATATAAACCTTAATTAAATAGCATATGTAATAAATTGTTTACAAAACAAATGCTAGCTAAGTGCACGAGGTCAGGAAATATAGTTCACGGAATGCCACGAACACAAAAATATTATGGAAATCAAATACAATTGGCTTAGGCGAGGTGTGTAAGTTAATGGAATAGAGTACAGGGAGATATTTATATGAGAAGGAAAAGCATTAAAGTAAAAACTGTAAACCCACCTCCTGAAATAAAGAGACTTAGCATGCAAGCACGCGGTTAGTAAATCGAATTCAGCGTGCCTACAAACGCTGCGCCGGCTCGCCGTAATTCTCTGCAGGACCCATCGTCGCTTCTGTAGTGGCCCCTA